TGTTTGATTGTTTGGAGAAAAAGCTAAAGTTGTGCTATTGTGACAATTCTAGTTAAAAATTCTTAAATAGCTGCAGTACATAAATTCATGGTGCTGTTAAGACAAATACCACCCTGGGTTACTCAGAAAGGCTTCTAGGACTTCACACCCTCACTAGAGGGAAACACCCTTTCATAGCCCTGAGAGCCTGGTGAGGAAGATGACAACAGGTGCAAGTAATTGAAGCCAAAATAACTCCATTAGCAGAATCTGTATGAGTTTGTAAGATAGTCATTTTGCAACAAAAAGATGAAAATAGAGCCTGGCTGGAAAATGGAAAACTACTTCCCCTTTGCCTGGTTTCTTTATGTATACAGCATGTATGCAGAGTGCTTGTTGCCGAGCATGTAAGCTGTTGACCAATGCAAAAGACAATGAGGATTCCATTAGAGGAAGCTATTGTAAAGTATTTAATTGTCATTTCAATATCTATTTCTCTTCTAAGGAAATCTTCAGATTCTAATACTTATGTGAATTTTCACTTTTGCTTCTTACATAAATGAGAGAATCAGGTCAGCTCAGTTCCCACATCTAATAGCTTGTTGACAAGGAAAAAATTAATCAGAGTAGCTACAGCAGAATAAATTACTCCAAAATAGCTTCCTCACGGATGCTGTTATTCTGGAATAAGTATGTCTTTTTCACGATTATTACTTATTCTGCCCAACCAATGTTTTTCAAATTTCCCAGGTAGACAGCAGTCAGCTTTTTAGAAGTTAGTTCCTTCCAGAAAATACCTGGGCTCCTTGAAGAAGGCTTGTCACTGCTGCAGCCATTTACCAGCAGAGATCTGTCCTGAGTGGTTACATCTAACCCCTCAGAGTCTCCATGGGAATCTTCATCAGTACAGAGTAAAAGCAAAGGATTTTATTTCCTTCATCATCTTTTCAAGTCTGGTAGAAATATTTAATATTTACAGACTTGGAGAACATGGTAGTAATTTGATGTTTTTCAGTTCACTTGTTAAGAATATTGTGTCTCATTCCTTGGACAAAAAAAAAAAAAAAAAAAAAAAGAAACAATAAGAAGACTTTATTTTTGCTTGCTTTTGAGGTTTCAACCCCCCAAAAAACTTTTTTTTTTACTTTTTTTTTTTTTTACTTTTTTTTTTTCCTGTCAGAACACAATGCAAGTCCCCTGGCTTCGTATTGCTAACTCCTCCATCTGCTTCTTGTATGGCTTTGTTTAGACAGGAGGTCCCTTATTGTTTCAGCTTACTGATTTCATGCAGATTTCAATAGCATTTTAGGTTTTCTTGAATATAAATTGACTATTACACTCAAAGTCAATACACTCAACATTGCCCTGTGAAGCTCTTCTCCCAGTGCTGGCATATGCCTGTGTCTTCCAGGACTGGGGGAATGCAGAAGCACTGACCTGTAGCTATGCCAGCTTTGCTAGACCTGAAGTGCTCAGATTATTGCTGTTAGCTATCTACAGTTGCTTTGGCTCATCATTACACAAACTAGCCTGATCTATCTGATTTCCCAGCTGCAATAGGATGGATCTGTTAATATTTTTTGTGTAGCCAAACAATCACCTTGTTCAAGGTCAGGCAAGGATTTTCAGATTCCAGGAAAGCCCATTCCATTATACTTGTTTGTTCAGATGAAGGGCTTTTTCTTTCCTTTCGAAGTGAATATTTTATGCTGTTATTTACTGAGTACTCACACAGTGCAGCGTGCTCTGTTGAGAAAAGAGCAGAGCTGTCTGAGGGTTGGTCTTGCACCCATTAAAGTCAATGACAAAGCTACAGCAGCTTTGATAATGCAGTTTGCCCTGAGGAGGTAGGGTTTTATAGACACAAAGTGTTGGTATGAACAGAGCAGGAAAAGTCAAAGTTTGAAGTGAAAATGTCTGACAGTATGTTGATGCTGTAGCACTCCAGTTTTAACACAAGGGAAATCCATACAGTGATATGATGACTCCACATTCATACAGACTGACCTTGTTAAAAATACAAAGAAGAGATGTCTTTTTTTGAAGGTTAAAAAATATGATGCCTTAATCTTGCTGTATATGCATTGCTGTGCTTGTCAGTCCAAGGAAGTTAGCAACTGGTAAATCATAAAATGGATATTTAAGGAGATACTTGGGCATTTCAACGTACCTTTTTAAGTCTGACTGTTTCTGGTAGAGTATGTAATTTAGGCAATTTGGACATCTAAGCTGCCAGTAGATGGAATTAAATGCCGATAGTCCAATTTTAAAATTTATTTAGGTGCTTAATTTAGATTTACTTCAGTGCTTCACTGTTCAAATCACAAATCACAAGATTTGGATGTTTAAGTAAATTACATTCACCCCCAAACAGAGCTGTAAGTTTGTCCCTGAAGAAATGTAGATTTTTGAAAAATCAATTATTTCTCCTGTTTTTCATGCTTGAAGAATGGAGGGAGGAGAAATAGGCTTGTTTTCATTTCTCATATTTGCTTTCCTTGGGCAAACATCCATGGAGAAGACTGTACCTGTCAGGTCACTGGGACACAGCCTGCATCAGGGTGGGGGTTTGTTTATCACCAACCGCAAAAGGACTATAGTCATGATTCTGCCTTTTTGGATCATTCTAGTATCATGACCAATAAATGAAAATAAACATCTTAAAGCACATATAAAACTATTGCAGTTCTTAAATAAAAGTCAGAAAACTGCAACAAGGATCTTTTTATTATAATTATTACTACAGTAAGGATGCTTATGAGACTTGGATAACATTTCAGATTGTGTTATTGCAGACTGGTTAGTGAATATTCTTCACAGGTATGAATAGACAGTAGGGATAGTGAAGGTCTGTTAGAGAGATCAGCTGCACAGGGTGGGTCGTGCACTTGGTGGACTAACAAGTGTGTAGTGCAGTCCTGCTCTTCCACAGTCACTTAGTTCAGAGCTTCTGTTTTGTCATTGTTCTGTGGGGACATTATGAGGTGATACAGTGTTAAAGACTAGAGAGAAACACCCACCCGGAATTAAGCATGTATGTAAATCACAGAATCACACAGAATCACAGAATTTCTAGGTTGGAAGAGACCTCAAGATCATCGAGTCCAACCTCTGACCTAACACTAACAAGTCCTCCACTAAACCATATCACTAAGTTCAACATCTAAACGTCTTTCAAATACCTCCAGGGATGGTGACTCCACCACTTCCCTGGGCAGCCCATTCCAATGCCTCACAACCCTCTCAGTAAAGAAGTTCTTCTTAACATCCAACCTAAAACTCCCCTGGTGCAACTTAAGCCCATTCCCCCTCATCCTGTCACCAGGCACGTGGGAGAATAGACCAACCCCCAACCCCGCTACAGCTTCCTTTAAGGTCCCTGTAGAGTGGGATAAGATCGCCCCTGAGCCTCCTCTTCTCCAGGCTGAACAAGCCCAGCTCTCTCAGCCGCTCCTCGTAGGACTTGTTCTCCAGGCCCCTCACCAGCTTCGTCGCCCTTCTTTGGACCTCGCTCAAGCACCTCAATGTCCTTCTTGTAGCGAGGGGCCCAAAACTGAACACAGTACTCGAGGTGCAGCCTCACCAGAGCCGAGTACAGGGGGACAATCACCTCCCTAGACCTGCTGGCCACACTGCTTCTGATACAAGCCAGGATGCTGTTGGCCTTCTTGGCCACCTGAGCACACTGCTGGCTCATATTCAGCCGACTATCAACCATCACTCCCAGGTCCTTCTCTGCCAGGCAGCTTTCCAACCACTCATCTCCCAGCCTGTAGCTCTGCTTGGGGTTGTTGTGCCCCAGGCGCAGGACCCAGCACTTGGCCTTGTTGAACTTCATACAGTTGGCCTCAGCCCATCGGTGCAGCCTATCCAGATCCTCCTGCAGAGCCTTCCTACTCTCGAGCAGATCGACACACGCACCTAGCTTGGTGTCATCTGCAAACTTACTGAGGGTGCACTCGATGCCCTCATCCAGATCATCAATAAAGATATTAAAGAGGACTGGCCCCAGTACCGAGCCCTGGGGGATGCCACTAGTGACCTGCCTCCAACTGGATTTGACTCCATTCACCACAACTCTTTGGGCCCAGCTACCCAGCCAGTTTCTAACCCAATAAAGCGTATGCCAGTCCAAGCCTAGGGCAGCCAGTTTCTTGAGGAGAATGTTGTGGGAAACGGTGTCAAAAACCTTGCTGAAGTCAAGGTAGACCACATCCACAGCCTTTCCCTCATCCACCAAGCGCGTCACTTTGTCACAGAAGGAGATCAGGTTCATCAAGCAGGACCTGCATTTCATAAACCCATGCTGACTGGGCCTGATCGCCTGCTTGCCCTGTAAGTGCTGCGTGATGACACTCAAGATAATCTGCTCCATGAGCTTCCCTGGCACTGAGGTCAAACTGACAGGCCTATAGTTCCCCGGGTCTGCCCTCCAGCCCTTCTTGTAGATGGGCGTCACGCTAGCTGCCAGTCAACTGGGACCTCCCCCAATAGCCAGGACTGCTGATAAATGATGGATAGGGGCTTGGCCAGCTCCTCTGCCAGTTCTCTCAGTACCCTCGGGTGGATCCCATCTGGCCCCATCGACTTGCGCACATCCAAGTGCCGTAGCAGGTCGCCAACCATTTCCTCATGGATAGTGAAGGCCACATATTGCTCCCCATCCTCTTCCACCAGCTCAGGGTACTGGGTATCTAGAGAACAACCGGTATTGCCGCTAAAGACCGAGGCAAAGAAGGCATTAAGCACCTCAGCCTTTTCCTCATCTTTTGTAACATGGTTTCCCCCCGCATCCATTAAAGGATGGAGATTCTCCTTAGTCCTCCTTTTTGTGTTGATGTATTTGTAAAAAGATTTTTTGTTGTCTTTAACATGCTTTAAATGCTTTATTGAATTTGAATGTGTCATAATCAACGTGCCTTCCAATTGATTAAATACCTCCCGTGCTTTCCAATAGCAAACACTGTGCTTTGTTCTCAGAATCACTCAATTTCCTGAAGTTTCTATTCTCTCTGTTTTAGATGGCTTGACAGACTGTGTAGACCCTGACTGTTGTCAGCAAAACAATTGTTATGCAAGTCCTCTCTGCCAGGGTTCACCTGATCCCCTTGACCTTATACAACACAGCCAACCGCCTTTCTCTCAGCATCCTCCAAGGCTCTTTTATGATCGAATCAGATTCCTTATTGGGAAGGAAAGCACTCATGTGATCCCAGGAGATGTCTCATTTGAGAGCAGGTAAGGTTTGTTCTAGACATAAAAGCAATGAAATATTGAAGTCAACTACTGAGAGTCTTACATATTGTATTCCCATTATCACCCAACTAGTTTATAAAAGTGTCACAGTAACAAACACTACTACTCATTATCAAGACTTTGACTGCTGTGGAAGGTAATCCATCTTGTACTTGAAAAATAAGTGGGGGGAAGTTCAGGTATTCATGCTTTAGATGTGTGTAAGGGCAGGAAGCAGAAAGATGAGTTGGATTCATACATGCTGTATTTAGTCACCTTTCTGCCCAACAGAGTTTATGTTATTTAACATGTTATTTACATATAATCTAGTAATCTAATTAACAAACTTTTTTAAAAACTGTAGATGTATTGAACAGTGTGAAGTTTACCATTTTGTGCTGCAAGTTATTCTTAAACTGTCATGCAAACAGTAGTGTGTGATTTTTGAGCATGCAATTGGCTTGCACTTTAACAGGAAAAGACTGTGCAATAGGAAAGGGGCATTCACTTGCTTGGAAACCTGGAAATACATATTTTCTTGAACATTTGAAATATAGGGACATATAAGTTTTTATGCTGTAGTTCACCTGGGAAGCTATAACTTACATGCTGACAAAGAGATCTACAAATCATCCACATCACCTAACTATTACCCTGCCAACTAGGCCTATACATTAGATAAACCATGTTCCAGTAATAAGGGCATAAGATTTTTTTTTTCACAGCACAGTAGATAGCACTTAGGTTGCAACCTCAACTTCATTCCATAGCTGCACACAAATTCAGTGCACTCTGTCTTTGTAACTTATTCATTTTTAATAAAGTAAATATGTAAACAGTCTTTATTGATCTAAAATACCTAACCATTTAATCACTATTAAAAATGGAACAGGATATTATAAATACATAGGGCAATAGGGCATGAAAATGAACTACATTGTCAGGTGGGTACAAAAGCACCCACCTGACAATGCTGGGTCTCTCAGAGTGTACATCGCTAATGGAAAATGGTGCCATTGCACCTAGTACAAGATCCTTGGTTGGCTGTACACGCTGCACAGCAGACTGCAGTTTAAAATACTAGTCACCAGTGGAAGATTTCCCTCATCAAAATGCCTTCCGGTGAGGTGTTTTCTCAAAGGAGGTGAGCACTCAAGTCACCTATACAGTGTTCTGTGACACTGCGAATGTTAGCAGCCAGATTGCAAGTGCATCAGCGTGCTTTTATAGATATAAGGAACTGATCTTCTAAAGCTATCATTGATGGGATTTAACTTGGATTCAAAAGCTTTTTCTGAGTATTTTGTTTCTTTACCCTATGTCCGGCATGCTTTTGGAGAACCAAGAACATTGAAGGCTTGGGTGTGAGCAGCAGCCCATCTTCACCATGGTTTGATACTTCAGACTTTATAATACAAAGGAATACAATTTGTAGTTGGGTTGGTGCATTGTTTGCACCCCAGATATTATTTCCTCCTACAGTAAAGAAATCAGTTGGTTTGCTGAAAAGATCTTAGTGATTCAAATGGGGCTGTCTGTATCTTCAGAATGAGGACAGTGCCTTAAGACTCGCACTGTGCCATGTCTCCTGGGCTTTGTCAACAGTAATCTGCAATGTACTGGGCACCCTAAGGAGTTCATCGGTCCACACTTCGCTTGATCCTCAAGCCTTCCAGGCTGTTGAAAAATTGCTCATCCATAAGTCAAACATTATTAAAAACTGCCAGGATTTTCCTTAAGGATGACAGAATAGCAGAGTCTCAGGAGGCAATGCTTAGCTGCGCTGTCTCTGTTCAGAAATCTTACCCTGACATAGTCAATCTGGCTGTCATCTAGTGTCTGTTCATCTCCTGGGATTTAAGATTATTGGAAAAAAAAAAAAAACATAGGAAGAAAACAGTTACTACAGTAAATACATCAGAAATCTGTGATACCGCTGACCTGGTAAAGACCAAAGAATGCTTGGGTTTTTTAATCTCCTTTTGGCTACTGCTGAAGAAGTCATCTCCATGCAGATAATATTAACTCTTGGCTGCCTGCAATGCCACTTATTTTATAACACTGGTGATTCAGCAAGAAGCACTGGAAGGATCAGATGAAATAGTAGCATTCATTTATTTTGGAGCATTGGCATCCATTCCCACCGGTGCTCAATTTACAGAATTTTGCAAAGCTCCTTTGTAAGTCTCTGAGATCATTAGGAGGATTAAAGAAGAAACATCTATCTGATGTATTCAGTCTTCTGACTCAAATGACATTGTGCAGTGTTTTACTGTAGTGTATGTCAGTGGAACTCCAATATGGGTGATGTTTGCATGAAGCTCACTGTAGATAAAGCCAATTTGATATTGAATGGCTTTGGGAAAGCTATCAAAAAAAAACATAGAAGATTATCTTTGTACTTCAGACAGACCATGTTTGGTCTCTGCCATATCCTGGCAATTTCAACATCACCTCACATACTGGAATTAGTTGTTCTGACAACTGCTGGGATACCTATCCTTTTGCATTTGCATCTTAGACTTTAGATTAGATATAATTTTTAAACACTTGGCTTCTACAACATAGTAAGTGTGTTAGCTCAATGCATAGACCAAAATTAATGTTAAGGAACTGAATATTTTCAAAATATATTTTACTTCTTTTTTATGTCAAAACCGTCATTTGTACAGGGTTTTTGACTTGCTCCCAACCTAAACAGTAACATGCTTAAAGGCAGATTAGACAAATTCTGAATAAATGGAAATGTACTTGCTTACATCAGGAATGATTTTGACCCACTGCATGTAGCACGATGTAGCGGATTAAAATGTTTTTATCAACTTTCCTTCTCAGGAAGGTTTTCAGCTTGTTTCTTTGCCGAGTGTTTTTAATGCATGCTGCTGGCAAGCTATTTGACTCACTGCAAATTGCCTACAAAAGGGGTCCAGTGCATGGTACTGAATTAATTACCCTTCAAAGGCTGCTTACAGCAACATTGTCAGCAGGAAGAAATGAATGTACCTTACTAGCCTTTAGCTTAATTTCTCTGATTGAAGGTTTTAATCAGAAATGTAATACAATAAATGACATCTCCTGGTAAGGTGACACTTGCGAATTCACAAGTTGCTTGACAGAGTTCCACATCTGAACCTAATGTCTCAGCTGGAGGTGCTCAGAGAATATTAGACACAAAAAAGTCAGCACACAAAACAAAAGCAGAAAAATAACAAATAAGAAGTAGTAGAGCAAGACAGGATGGTGGCAGAATAATAAAATGCTTTACAAGCAGTGAAAGAATGCATCTAGAATTTTAAACTCCTATTTATTTTTAAATAAGAGATGTCAAACTGCCTGATGGCAGAGATCAGACATTCACAGAGCTGAGCTCCTCAGTTACATGTGGAATGACCCATGAAATGTTTATAGAGAAATCCTACTTTTTTTAGGCCACCTGCAATCCAGAGGAATTTCTGCTTTCTCTCAAAAAGCTGACTGCTCCCTCTAGATCTGCAGGCTTAGTACAACGTACCAAGGGACTTGAAACATTTTTAATAAATTTGAAAACACCAAGGCAATTTATAAGGGACATGTTCCTTCCCAGATGCACTAAATTGGAAAAAGACATTTTTGCACTCACTATAAAGTTAAAACATTTGGGCAGCCTTAGTCCAAGATTATGCAATCTTTGCAAGTTAAGTGACTGTTGGGCAGAAAGCATGAGCTGTTATCACACATGAGAAATAAAAGCAGGCCAGTCACAAGTGTGTAGAGTAAGTTCTAGAGGCTGAGAATAAAAAGAGGAAAAAACAACACATCAAATATAATGATCTTTAGAGGTTTCTCTGTTAAAATTAAGAAAAGCAGTGAGCAGTAGCAAAGGTCTAAGGCTCATCTAGAAAAAGGGTGAATGCTGAAGCAAGGAAACTGTGAAATGAGTTAAAAGTGACATCACTGCAGGGAAAGGGCTCTAAAAGTCTAGTAAGAAAAGGAATGAAGTGAAGTCTTCTGCAAGTAGCGAAGCTGCAGGGGCTCTGCAAACCAGTGTGCCTCCCTTCAGAGCCTGGCTGTCCACTCTGTGAGCTGTCAGGGCAGTGGGAAAGGAGAGGTAGCCTGCTGCAACCTGGGGGTGGTTTGTTACTTCCCAGAGCCCTTGGTATTAGTGCCAGACATAAAGTAACCAAAAAAGGTTTTAATACCTGCAGTAAATGCAAAAAATAAAAGTAATTCTGATCAAATGCCTTGTTGGAGACTTAGTAGGTGCTAGTAATTCAAGAAGAGGCCAAAGAGTAAAGACTCTTCGACTTGAGTGGGTAGTAAAAAGACAGTAAATAATGAGGACAAATGTAGCAACACACAGGAAGGCTTGGAACATTTGAAATCTAAATGATTGGAAAGATAGTTCTATATAGATAAATGTAGAATAATGAGGTTTATGAGTCTTTATCACATGTTGTAAATATGTGTGGCTTGTAAAATATGACGAATAAAAAAAAGAGAAAGTTGAAAAATAAGTCTCTTAATATTATTTATGAATAACAAGAAGTGAATAAGTAGAGGAAAGAGACTATGTATGAAATAATGAAGACTTTGATGAGTTGTTATCACACGAATCTGTGTGCTTGATAAAATATGAGGAAGGAGTAGAGTCAGAAGATGTTTTTTTGTGGAAGAATCAGTGAATGAACAAACAGGAGTTCTAGAATAATATACTAAATAATGATGACTCTTAGGGCTATCTCAGACCAATATGCTTTTTAAACAAATGGAGTGCACTAATTAAAGGGATTAGAAAGGGAAAGGCAGGTCTATTGATGGCAGAAGCATGAGAAAAAAATAGAAATCAGTAGTTTCTATTCTAATAAATCAAGGAGTAATTGAACCTGGCTGTTCTATTTCAGTGAGTCTTGTGAGTCTGTTGAGATGCACAAGAGCTTGATTGCCTCCACTGGAGCAGCAAGTTTTGCCCACAAAGAAAGCCACAACCAACTTAGTTAGTGTAGAAGATGAAAAGGTGGTACATCGGAGCTCTGTTTTGCATACTTGTGTTCATGCAGCTTCTCCCATTCCTCTGGGAATTCTCAGCACCTTTGCTGATATCCTGGGAGCACAGAATTCCTACTAGCGACTGTGGTGAATGGTGTACTCACAAATGGGTTAATTTGTACTTGTTACATTTTGTCACAGTCAGTTGTGTTTGGTGATATCATAGTGATAAATTAATGTTCTGTCAAATGGCTCTGGATCTTAGGAAACAATTCAAAACTTTCAGAAATTTATGGTCTCCAACTTGCGTACATGATTTCGTGATCAGTTAGTCTCTCAAGGGATATTTCTTACGTTTACATACAGACTCTTAAATAATTTTCATTTGATGAGCTGTTTTTTCTTTAGGATACATATTCACTTCACAAAGGTAGGGTGTGTCTATTAAGGTCTAATGTGAACTTTCAACTTGAGGGGACAACATAACAATGTTTAAATGTGTTGTCTATAGTAATTAATAACAGTTGCTGCTATAGGCATCCTAATGTTTTTGACCCTACACACCTTAACGTTATCAAAAGGCTTCTGACTACATTGCTCACTTCAGCATTTGAAACCATATTTCCAGGAAATATGTACTATTGTATCATTAGTTCCCAAAACCTGAATCCTTGCAGCCAGAAGAGGTGTACTAATGTAGAGTACCTGAGGGCATGGGGCAAAAATGCTGAAAGGTATTTTAGTGGAATGTAGCTGTGTAAGTAAGCTGTTAGAAAATCTCCCTAGGTCCTAATCTGCACCATTAGAGTATTTCACTTATTATTCTTCATCCTTGGTGAGATTTGTCTCCTTTATGTTTCAGTCTTCAAATACATAAAAGGCCAAAGCTGCAAAAGAGAGAGAAACTTCTTCACCACGTCCATTCTAGGGTGAAAGTAACAGTTCTGAAGGACAACAGTTCAGATTTAGATTGGACGGTCTGAAGAAGTTACCATGAGTAAAGCACTCACACAAAAGCATTGGAATGGGTTATTTGGAGAGGATATAGAGTTAGACAAACATCTGTCTGGAGTAATGTAGGTATAGCTGATCTTACTGAGGCAAAGGAATGGACAAGATAAACTCCTGTACTTCCTTTCAGTTCTTGTTTTCTATGATTCTGTCAGCCTTCAATTGGACCCACTTAGTAATGAGTTCACTTTCCTGCCTCTTGATTTTGATGTATTCTGTTGCACTGCCATGTTCCAACCTCTATACTAGAATGGGAAGATTTTTATGCTGGAAAGAGTGTACAAATCCGATGTGTCCTAGAGGAAATTTAAAAGGACACAACCTGTGATGAAGGATTCAGAAAATATGCTATGCCTGTTTAGGCGCTCTTTAGATTTACCTACATAACTTTCTGAAGTTCAGCAAAGACCATGTGTCTCACTGCTGCCTTATCACATTAGTTCAGCTTTTTTTCTAACAGACAGCAATGCCCTATTCTTAGCAGCAAAGAATGAGGTTTCGTTCTCTTCTTTCACAAATCATCACCACTAGAGCTGCAGCAAGCTAAATCATGCTATCAGTGAAACCTTTGCATTGGTATTCAATGGCAGAACAAATGGTGTCCTGAATATGGCTGGAAATGGAAATACATTCTTGATACACCACTGATTCATAGGACAGCCTGTGTGTCTTCTTCATGAGATAATGGTTTTCCAAATCAATCTTTTGGGCTTGTTTGAATTTTCTTTCAAAATCAAGTCATGATGAAATCACAGTAGTTCTGTCTGTTTGGGAATGTGTAGCACCAATTTTGAAGTCAGTACTCTTCTCATCCTCCTGATGTCCTCATGTTGCCCTTTCTGTTACAGCCGTGCATGTGTCATTCGAGGCCAGGTGCTAGCAATAGATGGAACACCTCTGGTTGGAGTGAATGTCAGTTTCCTACACCACAATGAGTATGGATACACCATCAGTCGACAAGATGGAAGGTGAGATGTTTTTGTCACTATGTAACATTTTTATAGTTAGGGCCATGTACCACCACATGTGCATGAGCCAAATTCTCATGGAGATCACTGTTCATAGTGTGGACTCAGGATGGCAACTGACCCTCTGCTCTGGGAGCACACTTATTTAGAGCTTGGTGTGGTAAAGGAACTAATGAAGAAAGGGAAAAGAGAAAAAAATGTACAGCAACAAGATTAGTGACATTCAAACACCTGGAGTCAAATTCTGACAGTACTGCTGTACCAGCACTTTCTTGACATTTTCAGTAGTTGAGTTTTCCCTGTCTTTCCTTTTTTTTTTCTGTCTTCAGATGTAAATCTTGCAAGTAGTTTATTGAGGTGTCAACAAAGTTAACTACTTTAGCTGATCACCTGAGCCACACAAGTAAAAGTGGGAACAGACTCCTCCCAGAGCCAGAATGGTTAAATTGCTGCTCTGCAGCTAGTCCTGCACAATTCTGTCTTCCTTTGTCTTCCCCAACCTTGCAGGACTGAGATGAGTTCTCAGAAAGATAAGTTCCTGTATGTTCTATACTGCACTCCAGGGTTCATCATCCATTGCCAGTAGGGTCATGATTTGTTCCTGAACTTCAGTTGGATTAAACTGCTAAAAGCTACATAAGACTTCATCTCTCTTGGCTGTGTTGTGAATGACAAGAAGTCAGAAGCTATCTTCCAGCAGGGAAAGAGTATAATTTGTCACTATTTCTACAGGCTTTTTTTGTTGTTGTTGTTTATTTGTTTGCATTAGTAAGTTTATAATCATAAAGAGCATGCATATTTATTTTACCTTAGTTTCTTGACTTTCAAATCGCACTACTGAAAGTTAATAATTACCATTTCCTATTTACTCTAGTCTGGAAATAGTTGTTGCATTAAAATATGCTACCTGTATTTTGCTGTGAATATAATCGGTATCATTTGGGAAATGTAATGAAATATGCATAATTAGGTCTGACTTCTTATCACAGATTGTTACCATCAAAAGTCTCCATAATAGATGCATTCAGTAATACAGACGGTGAAGTATCTATTTACATATTACCTTCTGTTGTTTGACTGTGGATGTCAGAAGCTCAGAAAATTGAGACCATGTATATTTTGCCTTCTGTGTCTCACTGCTTTGCAGCCCATATTTGCCGAAGGTTCTTCATGGTAGCTCCCAGATCACCTGCCTTACTTACAAGAGGTGATTCAGTGCTCACTGCAATTAATCGGCGTCTTTCCCAAAATCTTCATATCCTGCACAGAGGGGTCACCTGCTCAGTGTACTCAAGCTTTTTCTCCTGCAACTTCTAGAAAAAGGAAAAGAATATGTCAAGAAAGAAAAGTCCTACCAGGATGTTAGACTTATCCTGTCTATTGTACCTTCATAAACATCCCTTTCTTGGCCAGGAATTTTTTGTATAATCCAAAGTGACTGGGTCCACACTTCTTTTGTCACAGATGACTTGTTAATATCAATTCTGGTTGATAAATAGAGGAGAGAAGGGAAAAATAACAGTGAAGTGCTATACCTTGCTATTGATGCATACAGGGAGAAAGCACAGAGAGGTAAATCTTCTTCACTGAATACTAAGGGGACATCAGGAAGATATACTTGAATGATTTTACATGGTAAATTAAGGGCCATAATGAGCAATATAAAGTTTTTGTTTGTGATGCCCTGAAAGTAGTAGAAGTGGGATAAAATGAGAACAAAGCATTTTGTTTTGTCTTTTCCAGTTTTGACCTTGTGGCTGTTGGAGGCATCTCTGTCACTCTAGTTTTTGACAGATCTCCTTTCATATCTGAAAAAAGGACACTTTGGTTGCCTTGGAATAGATTTATCATTGTTGACAAAGTTGTGATGCAAAGAACGGAGTCAGACATACCATCTTGTGACATCAGTAGTTTTATCAGTCCAAATCCAATTGTACTTCCTTCACCCTTGACAGCATTTGGAGGATCCTGCCCAGAAAGAGGAACCGTTATTCCAGAGCTACAGGTAATGAAATTACTTTCAAATGAACAATTTTATTGTTTGCTGAACAAGTTCTAGACAACGTTAAAGGTTACCATTAATTGACTTAATTAATGAAAACTACATAATTATTTGGTAATGGTGACAAAATATCTCTAGCATGGAAACATTTGGTTATAATGCAAGTAACAATGAATTTTGACACTGAAAGTCAAACAAATCCATTTATGTTAAATTTGCCCCCCATTATTCATATCCCCAAATTATTCATATCATTGTGATATCATTAGAGTTTTGCCCATCATTTCTGCCCAAGGCATGTAGACTTCTATTCGATATGTGTGAACACAAAAACACATAGACACCAAATGTACGCATGCTAAAAAATTAACCGAAATCAGTGGTTACAATTTGAATTCAAAATTTGCAGTCTCAGACTTTAAAACTAAATTGTAGAGATGGTGTATGTTGAGTATTCACTGTAGACTTGATATATCCCTTTGTCTTCCCTTTGTTCCTAGAAAGTTCTGAAAGCGCTGCTGTGAAAAAGATGGTAGCAAATAGTGAGCAATTAACTCCTGTGATGTTACTCACTTATCACAATGACACCAATGTAGATCTCTTTAGTACTGTTATGCAAGACGTTTTTCACTTTCTTTACATTTTGTTAATATTTTAAGATATGTTATACCTTACCTCAAAATAGAAGGAGGAGGTGGGGAATCCTACCATGATTTATTATTGAAATCATGATTCATTTATAGTGATGCACAAAACCATTCCTAAGTTAAAGATAAACAGTGCAACTTCACCATACATCTGTGTGAGACATGACCCAATATACTATGAAGACTCCAAGGGATTTTTCCTCCATTCACATCTAGTTCTTTGCAACAGCATCTCCAGCTATATGTTAGCTGCTTGTCTTTACTACTTTCTACACACTAACACAAAGCAATTTGAACATGATCTTTTGGATTGTATATATTTAAATGTCTTTTTTTTTTTTTTTCCTTGAGACTCCCTTGAGTGTTTAGAACCGCTTTGTAATTAACTTTGCATTTAACTGGTCTTTTATTTGGGACTTAAAAGAGGTTATCTAAGTGGTATGCACAACACAATACAACTACACCTGTTTCAGATCGTGTGAGTCCCCACAGTTTTTTGTATGTTGTTTGAACACTTAGAGTTCAAGCAATAAGACCTCTTTTGATTTCTCTTTTAATTGCACTAAGCAAGTATGGAGAGTATTTTTAGGCTAGCTACAGATATGAATATTTCCATCCTTGTTACTTTTTTCTCTTCCAAGTGTTGAAGAAAACAATGAAGGGTCTCTCTGTAAGAGACTTCTGATTGAACTCTGTGATGTTTAAACATCTGTGTATGTGTAAAAACATTATCATGGTTCAGCCAGCTGATGGCCACAGGGTTGCTTCACAGAACATACTAAGTGGCACTAAGAATGTTAGTTAAGAATAACTGATGTGCATCAGTAAGAAAAAAAAAATGGGTTACATTCCTTCACATGAGGTTGTCTTGTTTTTGTTTTTTGTTTGTTTGTTTGAAAATGGAGGTACCCAAAGATGCAGTCTACTCAGAGAGAAATTGATCCCAGTCCTTTTTTTGGCATTGGAGGGTCCTTAGAGTGTCAGCTTGTATTGTACAGTACTGGGAAAAGAATGAAAAAAAAAAAAAAAAACAGAATAATAGGAGAAGGAGACGCATTAACGTGTATTAATGCATGAATATTTCTTCCTGCTTTTCTGTTAAAAATAAGAAGAGATGTCAAATGCATGACAGAGGGGGCAGCTGGGATGTCAGCAGGAAAGAAGGGGAACACTGCAAATCAGGAACAATAAAGGGAGCAGGATTTCCCTGGCAACACTACATTTCATATGTTGAAAGGACAAGTGCTGGCAGGCCTCCAGCTGTACTGCAGCAATCCTATGACAGTGATACTGTTGCAGTATGTAAATAAGAGTGTTTGGAAAGTGAAAAAATATATAGTTAAACAAGAACTATACGAAAATGGGAATACAAACAAAACAGTTTGTGTTTTTCCAAGCTTGACTAATGTAACATTGTGACAGGTTGGCTTGTTATTACTGAAATACACTAAAATCATTAACCTTATTAAGGTTTTTAGTGGCTTTTGAGTGACTGTGCTGGTATTCTCCAAGAAGCCACTCTCTTCTCCTCTCTGTTCCACATCAGTCATCCCCATAAAAGCTCATTTCCCTCAAGATCACAAGAGCTAGCTCCCTTTTTGTAGCTCCGAGGTCCATCATTCAAAAGGTCAAGGCCAAGCTTCTCTTTTTCCCACACAAGTTCACAGTCTTGCAGTGCCTCTCATTGCTGGGGGCTTAACTTCATTGCAGCCAGGAACTGATACTACCCCACCATGGGCCGAGCCATGCCAGCTTGAATCCAAGTGATTCAGACAATGGCACTGACAGCAGTGCTGCGGGATGTGAACTCCGTTGCACACCCTGGGCACTCACCTGTTAGCGAGACGACGACACCCGTGCTGCTTCATCTTCTGTGCTATGTGTCACCAGTTATCTTATTAGGTTTTCAATGCTGTGCCTTCTTAGGCCATGCCCCCTCTGGCTGGAGTTTAGCCTTACTGCCAGCACTTCTGTGCAGAAACTGCTTTAGCAGGAAGGTTTGTTTTCTTTCTTGGCTCTCCCCAGGTTAGAGTTATTGCCTCCAAAGCAGGATAGTGTCTTCAAATCAAAAAGTAATGTATGAAGTGTGTGCATATTTAAAATATATATATATAATTGTTTTTGATTGTATTTGGGTTTACAACACTCATCAAGTAAACCAAATAATAAAATGTAATGCTCATAGAGAGCATTATGAGCTTTAATGCTTATATGACCACAGAGGTAGTATTTGTTCCTCAGCAGATAAACATAAAGAATTAGAGGAAGAGGTTCTTTATCAGAATAGATGGACTGCCATCCAGTAAGTTTTCATTGTTGTCCATTTTGTAATATGCCTGGCTACTGCATTGCTCAAATAAACACAAGAGATCATCATTGTAAGTGGTACTGTGTTCACATCATGATTGTGAAAACTAAAGCAAGCGTCCGTTGTTATTACAAATAAACATAATTGTACTTTTTTCCTGGCTATAGATATAATAATGTTTTCATGTTGTTGTTTGTTTTCCCAAGGTGGTCCAGGAGGAAATCCCAATCCCTTCAAGTTTTGTGAAGCTGAGTTATCTGAGCAGTCGAACACCAGGATATAAAACTTTGCTGCGCATCATTCTGACACACGCAACCATCCCTTCTGGAATGACAAAAGTACATCTGATAGTTGCTGTTGAAGGACGTCTGCTTCAGAAATGGTTTCCTGCTGCAGCCAATTTGGTATACACATTTGCCTGGAATAAGACAGATATATATGGACAGAAGGTGTCTGGTCTGGCAGAGGCTATGGGTACGTAGAATTACCTTAATATAAGCAGAAGCACTAACATGCACTAAGCCAGGAAAATAGAGCTTATAAATTTTGTTACCATACTTGCATTGTTTTTACATCAAATGCCTCTTTAGCTTAGTTGACCCATGTGATATTCTAGGAACATTTATTTTCTTGTTCCTCTGATGTCATCTTTCCAATTTAATCAATTTGAAAATCCCTGTTTCCTTCTGAGAATGGTTATGTACTAATGGCATTATATTCAGCTGTCTTTGTTTTGAATGTTACTTTGAATATGACCTTTGGTGTGTCATTGCTTCTGTCATTTTTTAGCTGTGACATTTAAAATGTCATTTCCACTTAGGGTTTACAAAATTCTAACTTTGAGGCACACTTTCTTTCTCCATTTCATATCCCTAACGGTTAGGACTTCTTGATTTGTTGTTTAAAAGTATTTCTGAGAAAAATACCACGTTTCATCATCTATTTTACCAAGCAGCACAAACAGCAATTTTGAGAATTGCAACAGAAAAGTTGTCAGTGAAAATACAATTTAGCCAGCCATTGTTGTCATGAATTTCATTATTTAGTTTCTAAAAGACATGCTATTTCTTTTAATTGATTCTGGGGTTATATTCCTTAATGGACTAATTTTACAAATACTTTCTATCAAGGTTATTTATTTTATCAGTGGAGCTTAGTACTGTGAATAAGCCTTATTCACTTCTGTAGAAGTTCTGACTTGCTTTTTAAGTCAGAAGGATTATAGCAAGAAGCATTGGCAGGATCAGGCTGTAAAATAAGAATAGCAAGGGCTACATGAAGCCAACCTTCCTCACAAGGAATACATAGCCAGAAGCTGCATTAAGGACCTGTTGTGTCATCCTTGCAGTTAGTGTGCCTACAAATTGGCCAGTGCAAAGACAAAGGTGCCATCCAGGCTGTGCTAGCTCTGGCAGCTCCCAGCACATCTGCACTTGCCTGTTATCATGTGCTCCCAGACAGGTAGTCTGTGAAGCATCTGTGCGTAGAGGAGATGGGAGAAACAAGAACAATAGCACTTTCTTTCCTACCTAGAGAATCGTGTAGAATTAACCATTGTTGTCAGCAAAGGATAATGTTAGAATCAAAAATAGAGAGTATGATTTACATCATGAGTTGTACACAGGAATATACCAGAAAACAAGGAGCTTATTTTAGGGCTGTGATCTCACAGCCTATTTAAACAGACAGAAGTGCAGGCTGCTGCCAGAGGGGATGTTCCTGTGTTCCCTCCTTCTCCCATGGGCCACCATTCACATACATTTGATCATGAAATGAGCCAGATCAGGAACAAATTCAGCTAAAAACTGAAGCAACCAGAAAATAATTGATAAATTTTCAGCTTCTTTAGTTTCCTGATCTGCTTTGAATGCTAGTGGAGCAGCACGGGTCTTCTCATTTCAGCTGTAGCTCACACGTTACAATTGGCCTAAAGAGATCAAATTCACCTTTAGCATGAGGCATTCTGAGTTGCTGCATTATCCCAGCTGCCTCCGATCTACCACATCCAGCTCACATCTGCAGACGTGTGGACAGCTTTACAAAGGGGACAGTAGGTGCTGGCACTGACACAGCGCTCTGGACCCCTGGGTTTGGCATGTGGCAGGGAACAGGAGCATCCTTTTCAGCTCATCTCATGGAACTTCATTGTTCGGGGGCAAATCTATCCCTAGCCCTTTACAGATACAGCTTCCTGCTTGTACTTTGCAGTGACGGAAGGTATTAAATGAGTTGTTGCCTTCACATACACATATTTCTGCAAATCCAGAACAAAAGCAAAACTCCAGCATGCCTTTTGGGCACCCAGGACCAGCAATGTTACAGGAGGCACTTGCAGCTTTCTTTGTCTCATTTACACAAGCCCTGCATTCAGGCTCTGTCAACACATGTTAACGCTAACATGTTTGAGATGGAAAAGTTAGGTACACCAGCTCCCTCTCCATCATTTAAGAGTCTTCTTATGATCATCAGGTCTAATACATGCCTAGAATTTAAAACAACTCAAATCAAATACATAACATCTTCTAAATGAAACTGTAGTTACAGTAGATTGTAGATGTTTGTAGATTCCCAAATTAGAAGCAGATGAGTTATATGTTTAAATATGAATAAAGCTTATACAATGGTGCTGGGTAACTACTTTTTAATTGTTTAATTGCTGTTGTGTTTTTTGTTTTTTTTTTTTGCTTTTGCTTAATTTAGTTTAACCATGCTTCTTGCAAAATTGAAACAAAAATCATTATATTTTAAGTGCATTTTTAGAATGCTTTGTTAGATTTTAATAAAGGTTTAATTTGACACTGTAGTACTCAGGGACCTTTATCTGCATCCATTATATAAATTTTGTCAAAATAATTTTCTCTTCCAGTATATTACCAATATTTAATAATGCATTCTGTTCAAATTTCATTTTAATTAAATTAAATTGCATCAGGTTGAAGTCGTGGAACTCAGGAATACAACTGTCTGCCTCCGGTTTTATAACTCCTATAAACATCTTTACTCTTCTTCAGGATTGTTGATAGAAATTATCATGTAACCAGTTATAGAAAAGGAGACTTTGAGCATATTTCAACACAAAAATGGTTTTGTTTAAATTTGTATAGAAAATGTTAGCTGGTGTTTATCTATTCTAGAAGTCTAACACACCACCATTTTCTTTTCTCAAAGGAACAGCAGAAATGATAAAGTAGCAATTTTTTGTTCTAAATAAAAAAAAGGTCACGTGAATGTTGCCATAAAATCTTCATGGTATAGTTTGCATGCTCTTGTAAACTAACATAGGAAAAGGAGAGATTTCAATAGAAACCTCAGTAAATACTCCTGTATAACTCCCTACATGCTCAATCTTTCTCCTGAAAGTCCTTGAATTCCCCACAGCAGGAGGAAGTGGAATGCAAGGATTTACCCTTCCGGATGTAAATATAAACTCTTGAGAAGAATAGTCTTAGGTCTTCTCAGTTTATTACTCTACTTATTACTTTAGCTGAGTTCCTTATATTCATTGTTCAGAGTAAGATGCTGATAAGTACAAATACTTTAGAAGTTGAAGTAGAGGTCACTGTCATGTTTAATCATGTCTTTTATTTTTAACCTCTATTTTGGAAGAGCAGCAGGAGAAACAGCAACAGCCCTTAAACCATGATATGCTGGCTCTAGTAACAGATTATTCTTGATTCTTCTAAAAAATTTTGTGAAAAGTGTAGATTGTTGGCTGTTAATGTCCAAAGAGTTAACAGTTTTCCTTCATGCAGTGAAATCTCAGTCAACTAAAAAAAAAGAGCAATAAATGAATTTAACCAGAAAGTAACACCCCACAATGAGGTTAAGTGGAGATTGTCAGTTCACTTACAAAATCAGAGTGTTTTTGCAAACCTTCTAGACACAAACTATTTATTTTTCAAGTAGCACTGTAGTTGCTTGGCTGACTCTATAATTGTTACACTTCACCTTGACTATTTTGCATGCAAAACAATTGATAGGAAATTTTCATGGATGGCAGACAAGTGCCTCCCTTTAGATGGTTTGGGATATCCCGTGATAAAATTACTCAAAAGTTCCTTTTTGAAGCCTAAATTGTCAGAAGGAAATTTTTAGTGTGCAGAATAGATTTTGTTCTTAAATATAAGTATGCATAGAAACATATTTGTAAATATGAAGTGAATGTTTGTCTAAGTGTCGCTTACTGATGGGAAGGGACAAAAAGGCAGCCACTAACCGTGAGCACGGAAGAAAGAACTTTTAAGAAAGGGGACTGTAATCTTTAGAGGGTATTTGGCAGCTATAGGCAAGGAATAGCAGGCACTTTACAGTGTTAGTTACAGTGCTGGTAAGTGTGCCACTGTGGATCCATTGGCACAGATTCTCAGTTGGTGAAAATTGTTATGCCTCCCTTGACCTAAATATCAGTATGGTACCTTACAGCAGCTGAAGGTCTGTCCTGTGGGTCTGTAATGGTTCACTTAGCAAGGCTGAGTGACACTGTATTATAGCTCTTTACTCTTCTCAAGTACATACATCTGACACAGGATTGAGCGTGTTAAGTGCATGAATGGAGTAAAGATGCTAACGTGTAGGTGAGCATGAGGTTGCTTTGTAGGAAAAATCAGCCCTTTATTTTCTCCCTGCATTAACACCTAGAAAATAGCATGTTCAGTTACTGAACCTTGATGGCTCATCCCAGCACAGGAGGTCAGTGGCTGTTCTGGAGGAGGCTCCATGCCCGCAGCTGGGCACTCAGACAAGGGAGTCACCTTGAAAGGTTGCAGATTTTAGACAAAAGTGCTCCTGTAAGTGAAAAATTGAACAGAGCATGCAGACTGAAACCTGTAAGTTTTAAATGTACAGTATGTACAGTACTTGAGATATGATTGTTATAAGTCAAAGTTTAGCTCCAAAAGCAGGTTCTTTCTGCTGAATTGATGAAGCAGCTCTGCTAAGTAAAACTGATGTAAGGAACAGCTTTCAGTTTCGCATAGAAGATTTATCTTAAAAACAAAAATGCTCCATACTATAGAGCTGGTCAAAATATTTTGATTGAATCTAGTAGCAGAATTTTGATGATATTAAAACTATTTGTGGTTCAGGTAAAATATACCTATAATTGCTAGGTAGAAAAAATAAGATGAAAATATTGAAAATGTCAGAAAAGAGTGTTTCTTAAAATATTTTTGTATTTCTTCTTAAAATATTTTTGAAGGCATTTTTATTTTGGAAAGGCTAAAATGTGTTAATATTTCCTAGATCAAACTTCTGGGATCTGATGTCAAAACATAACTTTCAGTTTGGCAATCCACTTCTGCCCAACTACAGTACTTATAATTACAGCATGATCTTTAGGTTAAAGATTGCTACATTTCAAAAATATCCAGTGTATGAGAATTCAATATCAATATGCTCACACTTAGAAAAAAAGAAAGCCAGATTGTTTTAACCTGGATTTTGTTTTTCTGTTTAGGCTACTGCTCAGACAATTCACAGAAATACAATAAACTATCAAGTCAGAAGTCATTAGAGGAGATTTATGTTCTTAAGACAATCTGTAACTGATAACACAAAGTTCTCTGCTTTGAAACTGTAGTAACCATAGCTGTCATAACATACTAATCCCTTAAACTCTGTTTAAAAATTCCATTTGACAGTAGCAATCAGGCAGAGGTAAATTAATGACATCATTACTTGAAAGGTGAATATCAAAACCTAGAATGAAAATTACTTAGTAGTTCACAGAGAAAAAACTGAACTGATAGATCTTTAATTATTTGGTTACAGTGTCCGTGGGTTATGAATATGAAACATGTCCTGATTTTATTCTGTGGGAGAAAAGAACAGTAACCCTTCAAGGCTTTGAAATGGATGCTTCAAATCTGGGAGGCTGGTCAATAAACAAACACCATGTATTAAATCCACAAAGTGGTAAGTCCTTCCTTTATTAACTGGCCACACAGAAGAATAATACAAATTTTAAAGGAATTAATTGTTCAGATTTTCAGTATTACTATTTCTAACATTTAATCCTCTTTGAATCTGCACCATCCTTTATTCAGAAATGAACTGTAAATGCCATCTGAAAGCCTGTTTTTAATGTTCTGGCTCCCAGGTATTAAACACTAATATCCCTAACTGTTGTGATTATGAGCACAGTTTAGTCATTTGGGTGGGAAAAGGGCATGCTCATTTAGGTTTGTTTTCACACTGCTTGTATGGAAGTACTACATTTTAGGTCAGTTTATGGTGTGTTATATTCTCAGTGAAGTGCCTACATTCCTAATTCATCCTATGACTAACCTTGATTAGTAGCGGCGTTGGTGGTCACAGCTCTAGGGAGACAAAACATGCATGGAAATGGAACAGCTGAGTAAGAGGTGGCACTTCTAAAACCACCTTGCCAGTCTGCTGAGCAGAAGCTTTCGTTGCTGCCCACTTTTCAGAGAAGCTCAGTTACTCTTTGGGATAAGCAATCCATTCAAATCCAATCAAAGCATTAGGAAAAAAAAAATGGAAATGCTTTTTATGTCACATCATTAACGCTGTATACAGATTCTTCAAGCATGGAGACTTGAATCTGTTTTTTCATTGCTTTTATTTTATTCCTGGTTTGTTTGTGGTGCGTTTTTTTTTTCTTCCCCTAACTTCTTTAATCAGGAATAAAGTCTTAGTGAGATTAAACTATTAAAACAATACTTATAAATGAAGCTAACTAAAAAAAAAAGTATGATTTTGCAGATAAATAACTCACTTTGCTTGGGAGACTTGGGGTCAGATTTCAGATCACAGAAATCATTTTAGTGCTGGATTCAGTGAAGTTCTCTCAATTTTCTCCTACTGGGAGTCTGTCCACTGAAATCTGTTTCCATCTACAAACTTCTGTAATGAAGATTCATGTACAGATGTATGTCTGCCAGGTTTTTACAAGTTCTGTTGTTGAATGCACAACTACAGTATAAATATTCCAAATACAAAAGGTCAGATTTAGTTTGTAAATTATCTGGATTTCTGTTTTGATTTAAAATAGTCTGACATTTTAAATAGCAGTTCTTTCATGCCCTGTCTTACTGGTTTGTATAGATTGTCTCTTTTAAATGCCAGCTATTGACATTTAACACAAAGAGAAATCTGACCTCAGTCAGCTCAGCCCCCAGCTGTGTGCCCTATAGCCTCCTCTTTAGTGCCAATTTACCACTTACATAGTTTAATTTCAAGACTAAATTGCTGGCACTAAGTCCAGTTTATATATAGTTTATATAACTATCTGCTAACTGCAGTGGTTACTACTATCATTCACCATATAGGCACTAGCATGTTCTCAGACTCTGTAAAACAGACAATTACAACGCAAGTGAGGCTAAACCACTGCCTTCCAGCACGGGGTGTATGGTGACAAATTGCTTGCTGGCCCATCACAGCTGTGTGGCACAGCCTCTCAGGAAATCTGGCAAGCAGTGACCGCAGTGCCTCCTCCGAAATCTGCAGCCTGTGCCCTCTCCCCCACCCCAACAGCGAGAATGGTAAATGTACAGCCTCTCATACACACTCCTCTTCCTCTCGTGTTCTCAGTGCGCTGGGCACTGTCAAGGCTGAAATCGGAGGGAAGGGGTTTGGATCTTCATCCATTACGCACAGAGATGCAGCTGGGCAGGGTGTAAGCACATGCTTAGTTTGCAGTCAGCGAGTCTCCTTTGTGCACAGGTTGCGTATGAGGGCATCTCCAGCAAGGAACACAAAGCCCAGGCAGAGCAGTGCTTTGCCTATTTCTCATGACCATAATAGGCTTTATTACGCATAATCAAGCACACCTCACTCAGCCATATATGAATTAGAAAAGCAGTTAGGAACAGACAAACAATGACTATCATAGCTAGGATACACCTAACAGAGCAGCCTGCAGGCCCATAGTAAAGCAGCAAAACTAAATAGTCAACTTTATCACCAAAAAAAGATAAAAATAACTAGTGCACTTTTGATCTTGAAACTAGTGAACTGCTTGTTGATTTCGATAAATAAACCATACTTATAATGAGGAGGATATGATTCAAACGTAGAATTATACAATTCAGACTTATCTCCATACAACTGTGAGTGAAATGAAAAGCATGAGGAGCCTTCTCAAGTATGAATATATTCAGATTTTTATTTTTAATTAAAGCATTTCTCTGTACATATGGAGAGTTGCACTTCTGAGAAGCATGAAATTTATCCAGTTTTGAAACACTGTCACTGGATTAACTACAGAAATAGCATTGGACAATAACATAAATGTCTTTTTAAAAATTCTCTGTTGCAAATTGCAATTTTGTTTTCAGACTAAAACCACTTTGCTTCCTGAGTTAACTAGTCCTGAAGAACTTATATTTAACCTCAGCCACTAAGCCTTGCTTCCAGTAGCTCTGCTGATGTGTGCGCTGTTCCTGCTCAGAGACGAGGTGGCTACGCTTATCTCCCTCTCCATAAAAGCTATTCCTCTCAGAGAGGTTACAAAATAAATAGAATAGAAAAGTTGTGGAATGAATAGATACAATTATACAGACTTGGATTTAATAGCACAGTCTGAGCTTTGGAGGGACAAGAACTGACATGCAGAAACTGTACCAATTACAAACAATGCTATAGTGCCACACGTTAATTATCTTTAAAAAAAATAAAAGATAAAATAAAATCTGATTCTTGCAGTTTAGCTGTGAAAAATATGTATTCCAATGCATGGCTGTCACCACAAGCTTAAGATTTTAAATGTATATTTTTTTACATCAATATGAAGCTCACATTGACAGAGGATCCCATCCTTTTCTCAGCTATACTGAACTCCTTTTCTACTTTTCCTTCAGTCCAGAGGGTCAATCTCTTACAATTCATTACATGATTTGAGTTGAATGTTTTCTAACAGAAAGGTGTCAGTCAGTTTGGAAGATCTTCAGGGTATTTCTCATAATCCAGAGGAGAACACATACCAGAAATGCTAGTTCCTATATGTAGTCCTTATAAAAATGCAGATGAATACAAGCAAATGCACTATTAACCAATTTTTCAGAGTATTCTCTGAATTAAATTTTTCTTCTGATGGGCAAGTATATTGATTTCAGTTTTTATTTATCTGGGGGAAAGAGGAGTACTTTTAAAGGGACTTTATGCTTTACAGTAACTCTAGCCCCAGTGCAACACAGCACTGGCTAAAATTAAAGCAGCAGCTCAAGAGCCTGAAATTAAGTACATGCTTACATTTATTGACAGCAAAAGATATTCTCCAGAGCCCTAATTATTTACTGGCATTTGTATGAGGCAGTTGAACGATTACCTTTACATTGTTAATTTCAGACAAAGGGCAGCATCTTCATTTAGCTGCATTTTTATCCGGTACATAAGGGAGGATATTGCCATTAATTTTGCTGGCATATTTCTAAGATGCCCTTTTTTAAGCCAATGTTCAACCAAATACAAGTATTCTGTCCTTTATTGTTCAGATTTTTTTTTTTTAATAGAATTCTCTTGAAAACAGCTGTGGCAACACTTAAATAATTCCACCAAGAATTTTAATTTGGCTTACCTGAGAGCCACAAAAAGAGTTTTACAAAAGTGGAGAGAGACAGCACACACACAGGTACATCCACTCTACTTCATGAAAACACTGAAGTGTCTCAATGTATCCTTACTGCAGCACCCCAGTTCTCGGAGTATCAGGAAGAGTCCTCCAAAAGTATATTCCCTTGTGTTTATTCCTTTAATTTTGCCACTTTTTTTTCCTGATGAAATGCTGGGATTTCTAAGAGGAATATGAATGTTTTAATGCTCAACTTTCACTCAGAAAAAGTCAAAATTTTACAATAATATGCCATTTAAAAGGTACTTCTTAAATATATTATTACATTGCTGTTTAAAATAAACACTGCAGATATCTACCCGAGAAAATGCATGTTTGCACTGGATCTGGTGCTAACAACCTAGTAGCTGGGAAGAGTCAACAATGTATGCCCCAGAGCAGTACTGAAACAACTGACATTTTGGAAACTTGTTTTAAACTTTATGGCAGCACATAATATATTCCTGTTGGTAAGAAATTCACTTGTGCCTCAGTTACTTCTAGCTTGGCTTTGCTGCAGTCTGCACCATTTTTATATACCATGAAGGACTCACATTTACATTTGAATATTGATTTTGTACTGCCACTCAGTGCTCTTTTGTGAAAAATGCATAGTAGTCCTGCTATTAATCTCCTTTAATTAAATATTCAAACTGCCTCAGAAATTCCTCTGCTACCTAATAAAAATTTATGAATAAAATGAATATTAAAGTAGTAATCCCTGAGAAATCAGATAGCACTGCAATTAACAGTCAATTTGTTAGAGCATTAAGCAACCATGAGTTCTCCTCATGATGTTGGCTTTTAAAATAGCCACTCACCACTAATTGACAAAGCAGCGATGATGAAACTTGGGACTGAACAAAATTGGAAGAGATTAGTGGAACCCTGTGACACAGCCTTCAACAGATCAGGTGGCTTTTGCTATTTTGCCAATCTGCTGTTCTGTAGGATTTCAAAAGCCCAAATTGCAGAATAGTTTAAGCACTATACATTTGCTTTTTTTTTTTTTTTGTCTCCTGTTTTCTCCCCCTTCCTTTCCCTTAGGAATTGTACACAAAGGAAATGGTGAAAACATGTTCATTTCCCAGCAGCCACCAGTCATCTCCACTGTGATGGGCAATGGACACCAGAGGAGTGTCTCCTGCTCCAACTGCAATGGTCTTGCACTCAACAGTAAACTCTTTGCCCCAGTTGCTCTTGCTTCTGGGCCTGATGGGAGTTTGTACATTGGAGACTTCAATTTTGTCAGACGGATCTTTCCCTCTGGAAACTCTATTGGCATATTAGAATTAAGGTAAAAGAAAATATGGTTACCTTTGGCTAGTGTTCCCTATCCTGGCTGTGATACACCTATGAAAACTACATTTTTTCTTTGTGCTTTAAAGAGGCATCCGCATTTGGTTGCTTCCTGAACATGTGTCTCACTGACTGTCAAACCTGGTCATTGGAAAACGTATGCATTGTTTCAAGTCGTCAGTTTAAAAAGGCATCCTAAGAGGCATTTAGAACAGATATTGCATAATGAATTTCTACAGAGTACAGAATTAATAGAGCTAATTATTCTTCTTGTGGGTATTTTCATGCAATCCCCCCAAAAAGTTGAAAATCCCCTTCTCATATGGGCTTTTCATGCAATTTTCCCCAAAAAGGTTTCAAATTCCATGAAGCTTTTAGAAAAACGCCCCACCCCTATTCAATAGCAAATATTCAAAGTGTCACATCAGATCACAGCACTGAGGCTGCAGACAGACTTACCATGTTTGAAATTAATACAATTAAATTGTTCTTTATCTGTAACAGGATCTGGCTGGGTTTAAACAGATGAGCAAAACTGCCATTGCAGACTGATGTGTCCCAGGCTGGGCCAGTGCCACTCTTAACAACTTCCCTGCTTTGGACTTCTGCTTTGGATTCCCTTTCAAGGCATAGGGGAAGGCAGGAAAGGTTTTGGACACCGATGCACTAAATTTCTTTTATTTAGCACCCATGAATTTCTAACTAGCTAGCATTGCAGGCAATGAAATTGTGGGTTGATTGTTCAGAATGAACTTGAAAATGTGAAGGTGGTGGGTGGTGAAAAGGAAACAGATTTTGAGAGAAAGAAGTGAATGCCAGGAAAAACGTGTTGTGGAGTACTAATATTTCTTGTCTTTTTTTTTTTTTTTTTTTTTTAAACCTGAACCGGTCTGTCTTACTAGGAATAGAGACACAAGACACAGGTGAGTAAAAAACACTAACAGTAATACGTGAAACATGTCGAACATGTCTTACAAAAGACCTGACTAGTGGAAGTTCTTATTTAGGAAAACACTTTGAATTTCATAAATATAAATGTAAATCAAATTCACCTTTAAGGTGATTTGGTTTGTTCCCTTTGAAGGAATCAAATCAGTTGATCAACTGATTGATCTAAAAACCTGTTTGCTGATCACCAAGCAGCAATGGAGAGGTTTGAACCTGCAAGCTGGGAATGCTGTTCATAGCTGTCCTATGCTTTTCATAATATGCTCATATGATGATAGATATAGCCAGCCAACCAAACTGGGGTTTGGCAACTAAGGAATAAGACAAAAGGCTTCTGAATTCCCCAAGAGCCTGTGCTTTCATGGTTCTAGTATACGTGAACTTTAAAATCTGCTTTAGTTATGGGGGGGTGCACTAAGAGCACAACAGTCCCAAAGCTGAGGGTAGCACATCACAGCTTGGTCCTTGCTTCCACCAGCAACAGCATACGCAAGTTACTTTTCCCATTTCTATTAAACATTTTAACATTACAATGCAAGTTGTTAAAAAAAAAAAAATAGTGTTGGACATGAGGCTTCTGCAATAGACTGTGGGATTTGTAACAGTCCACCTGCAGAAATGACGTTGCTGGCTAGGAAGAGACAGTGAAGCACCAAGACACTGTGTACCCTTAGAAACAAACTTCTTGGCATCTAAGTACATAAATGAGATAAATAAATGAGCTAAGCTAATGACTGCGTGGCATAGCAGGAAGTGCTTCATGGATGAAACGTGTTCTGCAGGCTGAGATTACTGGTCAGAATTACTTGGTGTAACCACTAGAATGCTATTGAATACTATAGGTTATTTGCCAGCCCGCTTATAGATGTATTTCATATGTTTTACAATAACAGGTTAATAAAAATGGAATAATTCCTAGCACAAGGTTTTATATTTTAACTGAAGGATCATTTCCTTTTTCCTTTATACTAAGCCGATCAGTATCTTTGTACACTAATGAAAAGAAGCAAATTGAATGTACTTACTCTGTAATGCATTCAGAACTTCAGTCAGGTTTTTAATTTGGGCGTTTCTTTTGTAGATTTTTTTTTAATAACTAGTCATTATAATTGTTGGTTGTTTTGTTTTTGTTTTGTTTTGTTTTGAGATAAGCTTAAGCCTTAATTAATTCAATTTGTGAAAATATACAAGTGTTCCAGTCCTATTAATCAGAAAATCATAGTTGCTTCTATCCATATCCTACCCAAGTGAAATCCATGGAAGACCTGAGGAAGTAACTTGAAGTTTCTGTAGTCTTTGAGGGTACAGAGGAGCACTCATCAGTCCCAGTCTATGGTGTTCTGTTCAGGCTGTAAAGACCACAGCAAGGATAAATACTGGGTTATGCATGTCTTGGAGATTTCTAGGATGCTCACATGGAAGCAACAACTGGATGTTTTCATGTAACAGGCCAGGAAATAAAAGGCTCAAAATCCAAATCCTCAGCACAATCTTTAGTCTCCAAAACAGCAGGAAAAAAGGTTTTGCCAGGAAAAAGAAAACAGTGGGGAAAAAAAAAAAAAAAAAAGTGTAGTTTGGAGAGTGGGATACAGAAGACACTGATCTTGTTTCTTTGACTGTTTAAAAAACAACTCATCCAATGTGGTTTTCTAAATTTTATTGCCTTCAAGATTTTAATAAGATCTAGGGGCATCTAAAGGCATCTGATAACTGATCAAATGGAAACTAGACTTTGAGGTTACAGGGATAAATTGTACTACAGGCCTGTTACCATTTTTTCTGGAAAGATTCATCATAAATCCTAGGCTACTTCCTGTAGTTTTTAATAGGATAATTTAAATAACCTCTGATTTAGATTTGATTGCAAACTTCTACAAAGATGAGGAGCATTTGATTTTTTTCTGTTTTTACTAAAATTCTGTAAACATGTCAGTATTCAAGGCTTTTAAGTATACATAACATTGAGTTTTTTTAACAGTCATATTAAATGTAATGACAAGTGTGACAGAAAATGTGTCTACAAGGAGGGTATATCATGACCCTTGGTTCTCTACAGTTTCTGCATGACAGAGAAAATGTTTATTTAACATTGTGAATTCTCCTTGCAACTTTTTCCATGGGAGTATTTTATTAAAGAGTAATCTTTTAGCTGGTCAGTCTCTTCAGAGATCACTCCAGAGAGCATAAATGATTCTCAATGTTTTTAACAAACAATTCTATAGTAATGGTGATACGCAATTCAGCATCTTCAGCAGCCTTTAGCTCATCCACTGATTCTCTTGCATCATACTGTGGTCCTCTCTCATTCCCTCAATTTCCTTGGACTGGGTTTCACATCTGTTCCCCAACTGTAAAAATATCTCATTGCTTATATATCCCCATCTTTTGTAGAAGCTTATGACTAAGGTCAGCTTTAAGCTAGTCTAGCTTGTGACCCACTCCTCAGAGGTGCTGAGTAGTTTGTCCCCTTTTGAATGGAGAATGACAAATGAAACAGGCCCAAGTTCTGTCACATTTACCGTGGTACAGCATCGGCCTGATTGCTAAGAAATCAAACAAAGATTTCAACTGATTGTCTGTTAGAGGTTTCTTAGCTATATAGAGAGAGTACTCAGATTGATAAAATAAAAAGATATGTTGAGTATTGTACATTTGCTTGCAACATTGCTTAGCAAGGTAGAGCTGTCTAACTGATGATTGATAAAGCTTAGTATCTACTTCAAACAAGCAAAAGCTTCATATTTAAAGAGACTACATCAACCTGAAATCTAGTCAGCAAAATAAGTCAGTGTCACTTCAGGCATTGCATATCTGTCCTGGAGCCTCTACCAGTTCTTCAGCACTGTACTGTCTGAATTCGTCCTTTCCTGATTTGTGGTGGCATAAAAACCTGGGTCTGCAGAAGATCATCGCCATATCTAGCATACAACAAGACTGACAAATCTGAGAAAAGTAAATCTTGTTTCTTAACCTTGTTGCAGAAATCTTAATTGTAAAGGTATTAACATTTGCACAATTAAGTAAAAAAAGATACCAATTTGTCAGTCTTACAGATCTGCATAGCAATACCTGAGTGTATTTGTATAGGACAGTTCCATAAAGAGTTACAGGGAGGTCATCACACACAGCCAACAGTCAGAAATCACCTCCTTCCCCAGAAGAAACTTGGCAGTGGTAAAAGTACTGCCCGAGACCTGGATGCTCTGCCAAGCAGCGAGCACATCTCTGCCTCTGCCCATCTCTTCCATTTTCAGTAACAGACTGAGTGATTTGAAGGATCTACACCTATCCAGGGTTTGATTCTATTTTATAAGCAGCCCATCAGTTTGGGGGCACTGGTGTGGTATGCCACATGCCTAGGTGATTTCCTCAAAATGAAAATTAACTCTGCATTCAAAAAGATACAAAAAGTCTTACTTGCTAAAAAGATGCAGCCCAGTGCTCTGATTAGAATTTATGATCCTCACCATTTAATTAACGTATGTAAATATTTTTAATAACATTTTATAAGCTCAATAAGGCACTTCAGTGCATGAATTATGGTGCATTAATTCATGCCTAGTTGCACTGACAGTGCTTGGCCTTCTGCCTCTCTCCTGACAATGCAGTCAGCATGAATTAAGGCACCATATTTCATACCTTCATATTTCCTAAGGTTTAGAAACAGATAAAAATAACCAAGAGTGGGTATTAGTACCCATGCAGAACAGTCAGTGATTCACTTTGCTGCAAGTCATAGATTTGTTTTCAGTGCCAAGACTACTAAGACTTAATATAGAAAAAATGACCTTGCTTTTGGAAGTAGTAATTATTAAATAAGCTGAAGTCAATCCAGTTAGCTTTATACTGGCCAGACCAACACCAGCAATACCACTCTCTGCATAAACTCTCCACCTGACACCAAGCTGGCTGGACAAGCCTTACAGCCACTGCTAATTCCTTCTTCCTCAGCAGTGGTGCTTGGATGAGCACCGTGATAACTGGTGTCACTTATGCCTTCCCATCCCCAAATCATTGAAGAGACACCTGGAGATAAGTAGGAGAATACAAGTGCCAGGCTAGCATGACCAAAGATGAGTAAGAAAAACAATTTAACTTTGATGTTCTTCTGTTCTCTTTTAGTACAAGTCCTGCACATAAATATTACTTGGCTGTTGACCCAGTGTCAGAATCCCTTTACTTGTCAGATACCAACACCAGAAAAATTTACAAAGCAAAATCACTTGTTGAAACAAAGGATCTGGCCAAAAATGCTGATGTGGTGGCAGGAACAGGTGATCAGTGCCTTCCATTTGACCAGAGTCACTGCGGAGATGGCGGGAAGGCATCAGAGGCATCTCTCAACAGTCCAAGAGGTAAGAAAAGTATTTGAACTACTTGGGGAATCAGCTTTCATCCTCCTACATTACTTAGAAATTCAGATGCAACTGGATATGCAAAAACTGGTCTCAGGTGATATGATGTGATTAACCATAGTAGAGCTAAATAATATTATAAAGCTCATTCATCTTTTGAATATGAAGAACACTCTGGCTAGAATCAGCTGAAGTGGAATGCCAAATTCTTTCACTCCCTTTTTGTGAGAGTCCTAAGTGGAGTTTGAGTTCAACCTGAGTACTGTTTAGGGTTCGGTTTAAAGCGGTTAGGTTTTGGAAAGAGGAAAAGAGCAGAGCACTAGAGTGAAAGGGACTGCTGAAATGAGGCTGCCCAAACCTTTCAGTCCTGGCCAATTTTTTGGGGAGCCCAACGTGGGATTGTGTTGGACCTGGGCAGTGTGTAAAGTTAGGGTTCAGAGCAAGAAAATGCACAGACACCCAGCCTTAGTGATGCTGCAAATATGCTGCCAAGATAAGGTTAGGGCTGCCCAAACGATTCTGTCCTATCCCCTTTTTGTGGGAGGGCTAGGTGGGATTCTAACTGGATGATATTCCTTGCTATGGGGTGGTAGGCAGTGGAATGGGTTTTCTAGATATTTTTGTTTCCCCATCCCTAGAAGTGTTCAAGGCTAGGTTGGATGGGCTTTGGGCAACCTGATCTAGTGAAGTATTTCCCTGCCCATAGCAGGGAGTTGAAACTAGATGGTCTTTAAGGTTCCTTCCAACCCACACCATTCTGTGATTATAAATAATCTTTTCTTGTATGGCAGCACTCCTATTTAATTAGCTTTCTATTGCAAGGTGTCAGCATTTAATATTTAACTTCTAAGCAAATAGCGTTGTTGTAAAGTCCATTTTTTATTTGTGTATTTGGATGACTGTGGTAACGTTAGTGGGGCTTACACATTTTAAGTCAGGGCTCTTCAAATCAAACAGCTAGTAAGATCAAATATATAGAGAAATCTCGTTTGTCCTTCCTCATTAAGTTTGCTTTTTAAAATACAAGCATCTCACTTGCTCCCTTTGAAGTAAGCGCTTTGCTGAAGCCTTTCTGGGTACACCCTATATTGTCACAGGCAAAATGCACATGAATCCTGAATCCTCACTAGTGGCACAATTAATCTTGCAGTTAGCATTAGAACTGCAGTTTGAATTAAAACTGAGATAATACATCTCTTTAATATCTTTATCGATGATCTGGATGAGGGCATTGAGTGCACCCTCAGTAAGTTTGGTGCATGTGTCAATCTGCTCGAGGGTAGGAAGGCTCTGCAGGAGGATCTGGATAGGCTGCACCGATGGGCTGAGGCCAACTGCATGAAGTTCAACAAGGCCAAGTGCTGGGTCCTGCGCCTGGAGTGCAACAACCCTAAGCGGAGCTACAGGCTGGGAGATGAGTGGTTGGAGAGCTGCCAGGCAGAGAAGGACCTGGGACTATCAGTTAATAGTCTGCTGAATACAAGCCAGCAGTGTGCTCAGGTGGCCAAGAAGGCCAACAGCATCCTAACTTGTATGAGAAGCAGTGACCAGCAGGTCTAGGGAAGCAATTGTCCCCCTGTACTGGGCTCTGGTGAGGCCGCACTTTGAGTATTGTGTTCAGTTTTGGGCTACAAGAAGAACATGGAGGTGCTTGAGCAAGTCCAGGGAAGGGCAATGAAACTGGTGAGGGGTCTGGAGAACAAGTCTTATGAGGCTCAGGGGCAACCTTATCCCACTCTACAGGGACCTTAAAGGAAGCTGTAGCGGGGTTGGGGGTTGGTCTATTCTCCCACGTGCCTGGTGACAGGATGAGCGGGAATGGGCTAAAGTTGCACCAGGGGAGTTTTAGGTTGGATGTTAGGAAGAACTTCTTTACTGAGAGGGTTGTGAGGCATTGGAATGGGCTGCCCAGGGAAGTGGTGGAGTCACCATCCCTGGAGGTCTTTAAAAGACGTTTAGATGTAGAGCTCAGTGACATGGTTTAGTGGAGGACTTGTTAGTGTTAGGTCAGAAGTTGGAATAAATGATCTTGAAGGTCTCTTCCAACCTAGACAATTCTGTGATTCTCTAACGCAGCTGATCAACTCCCAGTAATATCCCTGGAACAAAGGGTAAACGACAGCTCCAGTGGCAGAGGCCTATGTGGGCTTTTAACAAGCCCCCCTTCTAGCACACTACTCACTACTAATGACTGGCTCTAAAGAAGTTTTGATTGTTTTTCTTGAGCTAATGAAGGAAGGCCGTGTAGCAGTAGGAAATTTGAATGTATATACAGACAAACATTTATAGGACAAGCAAATAATCCTATTTTAAGGCTTAGCAAGTGACACAATTATAGGTAGAGCAATCTCAACATGTCTTTAATGATGGAAGTTACGCATGAGGTAAGTGCAAATAAATGTTGATCTTCACACAGCTTATTGTTATGAATCAATTATAAAAATAGATGAAAGATTTTCAGATCCTTTAGCAGGAACATAATGTATTATTACAACTGATCATATCAAATTACAATATAATTAGTGGTTTCATCTTTCTTACTGGCAAAATATCTTTGAAAATTTGTAATATGCTATCTACTTTTAAAATATTCACGCATAGCTGGCTTCTTCAACAGGTGCTAATCATAGAGACATTAAGTGGAATAAAAAGTACAATTCATGAGTGCTGGGGCAGCCATCAAAAATTAAAAAATTAACTGTAAGCTGACAATGGCTCATACAGTGGCAAATTCAGGTAATGGCTCCCAGATGATTTATGAACCTAAAGTATATCAGTTTAAATTGAAATTGTCTGTCATTTTCTATGCTCTGGGTTTTAGATTTTAATTTCAAGGAATTGTGGACTGGCATATTCCCTTTTTGTGCAGGGCCTAGCATAATGCAGCACCAACCCTGCCACCAGGGAAGCACAAACTATTAATTGTGCATTATCATGATGGCCTTACAAATGCACACCCTTGTTTGCTTCTACACTAAAACACTGGGTAACCTTGAAAGCAGTAGGAAGTATTTGCCTGGTACCTATAGATTTAGGTATTTATTAAGTATATAAGAGTTTTTTCTAATTTAAATAGAATTTGGTGATTATTTTGGATCAATTATTTTGTTTGTTAATGGAGTAATTATTAATTTAGATGTCACACTTCTACTGAAAATACATTCACAACGTACATGCAAGTATTTTTTTTTTTTTTCTAGAAGACAGGAAAAATTGACAAAGAATCTCTGGTGAGTCCAGAGATTCAGCAACATCTTATCCACATCTAAAGATACTTGAATACAAAGCAACACAGCATTATGTAGTATTTGATCACAGGACTAAATGAATCGATGTAACTTTTTGTCTGAGATTTTTACGATCCAAAAGTGTATACCTCATAATGCAGATAAAGTAATTGTCAAAATATTTAATATATTCACATGCATTCCTCAGTGACCATGCAAGATTAACATTTATTTTTAAGCTGATGTAGTACTTTTGGCTCCATTTTTTCCATCTGCCTCATTTTTGTTCCAAACATTCCCTTTTTCTGCAATAAATAACAAATGTGTTGTTACTTGGTAGAAAGGTTGTATCTGAGAAGGAACTGCTTAGTGGCTGTCTGACCTTGGTTAGTTACTCCTCAGATGTTGTATTCTTACTTCTGCTCCTGGCTGCTTGTGACTTTGAATGGAGGCTTATCGATATGACTCAAGTTTATCCATTTGTAAAATTGATAAGAAATACCTACTGTGTAACACTGTTGTGAAACTTAATCCTGTTTGGTAAAGTCCTCAGAACTCTGCAACTGGAAATTCATATACTTATTTTTCTGAATGAAAGTTGCTTCAAATACTGTTTTAACTTTTTTTGAACTCAGATTTTTCTATTTTGGGAGGCAGGTAGGTTATTTTTTTTTGTTATTTGGAGTATTGTTTTTGGAATCCCATAGATTTTTGACTATATAAGGCTTTCAGCTGCTTTCATCTCTCATTATTTGGCAAGTCTGTCTTTGCCAAGTGTCGTGGTTTAACCCAGCCGGCAGCTAAACACCACGCAGCCGTTCGCTCACCCTCCCCCCTCCCTCTCTGGGACAGGGGAGAGAAATGGAAAGTGAAGCCCATGAGTTGAGGGAGAAGGGAGAGTGATCCAGGAGGATACAGGGGTGGTGAAGGAGAAAGGGAGAGTGATCAAGTAAGAATAAATATCTTCCCCTTTCCCCTCCACAGACTGACTCCCTAATGAAAAAAGGCAACAGATATAATTGCTAATAGTTTCCAAGATACAGTTTCCAAAGTATATAGTCGAAGATGTTACTGAGTACAAATACCAGGTTAGAGTCATGGCCAGATATTTCATCATCTTATAAGCCACTGATACAACACACAGTACCATTATGGTCTGAAACCAGGGCCCGGAGAGGACAAACAACATGACAGAGAGCACATACGGAAAATTACGTGCTATAATACTCAATTTGGAAAACAGGCGCAGCAGAGTTGAGATTAAAGCAATCAGCATTATGACAAGTGACTATTAAGCAGGTCTAATACTTATACCAATTTTAGTTTAACACACTCTGGTCAGATCTGCCGTTATCTCAACCTTTCGAGCCCCACGTTGGGCGCCAAAAAGACTGTCGTGGTTTAACCCGGCCGGCAGCTAAACACCACGCAGCCGTTCGCTCACCCTCCCCCCTCCCTCTCTGGGATGGGGGAGAGAAATGGAAAGTGAAGCCCGTGAGTTGAGATAAAGACAGTTTAATAAGACAGGAAAATAATAATAACAAAAATAATAATAATAATACAATGATGACAATAGTACTACCACTAATAATATGTACAAACAAGTGATGCACAATGCAATTGCTCACCACCCGCTGACCGATGCCCAGCCTAACCCCGAGCAGTCCGGCCCCCCTCCCCCGGCTAGCCACCCCTATATATTGTTTAGCATGACATCAGATGGTATGGAATACCCCTTTGGCTAGTTTGGGTCACCTGTCCCGGGTCTGTCCC